CAAACTCAAATCAACCAAAACACAAACTCACTGCTGTCAACTCAGAACTGACCCCTAGCTGACCCTCCAGGGGGTTTTCAGAGGCGGCAGTAAATCACAGTGGAGGACACTGCCCGTCCTTCTCCCACGGAGCTGCTGGTGGCCTCGAGCTGCCAGGGAAGTGCCATGCTGAAGTCAGCACCGCAACTCCCTCTGCACTGTCTCACAACTGAGTTCAAAGCAGTTTCTGAGGATGAACAGGAAAAATGCCAAGTAAAACAAAATCAAGAAGGATGGTTTTTACAACTCATAGCTCACTCTCTACACATAAAAGTGTGTGTGTGTGTGTGTGTGTGTGTGCGCGCACACACACACAACAAATATTACTGCAGCTTACGGCGGCCTAATAGTAAGAAACTGCACTGCAATCTCAAAGGCACATGGTTCAACACCACCAAATGATCTGTGGGAGAAAGATGGGCAATCTCGTCTCGTACGATTTATTGCCTATGAAAACCCATTGGAGGGTCAGCTCTGGTTCGGTGCTGACTCGACGGCAAACAACAACAACAACAACAACGTCACAGTACCATTCCAAAGTGTTAATGAGCAACGATGTCAGTTTAAAGACTAAGATGCACCAGATTCAAGTCATGGTCTTTTCAGTTACTTGTTACACAAAGGAAAGTTGGACAATGAATAAGGATGACAAAAGAATTGATGCTTTTGAGCTGTGGTGTTGGAGAAGAGTGCTGAACATCCCATGGACTGCCAGAAGAACAAACAGATACGGCCTGAAGAAGGTGCAACCAGGATGTTCCTTGGAGGCAAGGATGATAAGCTTCTTTTCACTTATTCTGGGCAGGCTGTTAGGAGGGGCATTCCTTGGAAAGGGAAATCATTCTTTGAAAGGTGGAGGAGGGTCAGTGAAAGAGGAAGACCCTCGACAAGATGAATGGACACAGTGACTGCAGCAACGGGCTCACGTGTGTCAAGGATGAAGAGCAACAGGACAGGACAGGGGTCAGCTCTGATGTTTATAAGGTCATTATGAGTCACCCTTAAAGCCAGACTGGACGGCACCTCACAACAATATAAAAAAAGCAACCGTAAAGCAAGGAATAATAAAATGCACTTGAACTCCCTATTTCCTTAGCGATGTTGCTGTTATGCACCATCAGGTCAGGAATGACTCACAGGTGACCCTCTAGCAAATTTTCAGAGGCTGTAATTTGCAAGGGGACATAGGAAAGACATTGATTTCCCTTGTTTCAAAATCAGGTGTTTAGTCTTCCAGCCCAGCCCATACTAAAGTGTGTCTTTACAAAGACAGGTATTGAGTGGGGTATTTTCTTTCTTCCTCAACTTCAGCTGGGTCTAGATGAAAGGGTCTCGGACATTCAAGGAAGGGACATGGCCACCTCGCCATCCACACTGGACCACACACACAACACAAGCTCCTTCCGACTACTCACTTCAGTGTCACCTGGAAGAACCCAAGTATCAGACCTCACCCAAACCTACAACAGCAGCAACCGTTAATGGGGAGACCCAGCACGCTGTGGGGTAACCAGCCTCCACCTGCTTCTTTATTTTTATCTCCTTCTCTGGGTGTTTCTAATGCTCAAGGTTGAACCAAAGGTTTATTCTCGACACCACCCAGACTCCTGGACTCCGGCGACGCCTCCCATCAGCACAAAGTCTCCTGGAGGGCTCAGGGGTCTTTCCATCCCACGGAACAAGGAAGCCAACTTATCTCCTCATTAAATATACTGCAGGCTGTGATTTTTCTCGGTGTCGACCAGATGTACTAAAAGCACAGTCTTCTCTCAATCATTTACTCTGAAGGTAAGACCTTCTCCCTACGCCACCCCAGTAACCTGCAGCGTTCCTCATGATTTCTTCTAGGTCAGAGGGGTCGTTCCGGAACCTTCCCACAGCCCCTGTATCAGTTCCAATCACCTCTTGTAACAACTCTGCATCAACGAGCTTTCTATCTGTATTTTACAGAAAAGCGAGCAACAGAAGAGTGTACATTTAGGAGTCTGTCTGTCTTCAACCTTCAATCCTGCTGTGGCTACATCTCTGATGTAGACAATTATCATCTACTTTCTCCTATGGCTATGATGGGATTCACTGTAAATGCATGCAATGCGTTTAGAACAGCACCTAGCATGCATGATAAACACCATACGAGATGCTTGTGGAAATCAGTGTGACAGATGATTAATCAAGGACCGGACAGCAGACAGGGAAGACGGCCCAGAGAGGGCTGGAACAACGGGTCAATATCTATGGACGCCTGAGGGCTGTTCTCTGGAACCCTGGGAAAGAGCAGAAAGAATATAAGGAGAGAAAAGCAGAAGGCAACTCTCTACAGTTTGTGAGTAAACTTTCCTTTAAAAAGAAGATAATTCAAGGTGGCCTGGAGGCAGTTAAAGGACTCTCCATCAAGGGTGACTTGTCTGAGAGGCCCAGATAAGGACTCAAGGAAAGTGGTAAGTGAGGAGAGAACAAATCAACTCACTGGCTCAAGCCAGGATCACAGCTTCCAGAAGGACCCGTGCTCACAAAAGAGCTAGGAATGCAAACCCTAATTCTAGAATGACTGACTGATTCAGGTAAGGTCCTCAAACCAGACGAGTCCAGCAGACCTCTGAATCTTGACCACTCAGGGGACAAGGGACCCTGTGACTTATCTATTTCTCTTGTAGAATTCCACTGGCTGCACCCCAAATATCCCCCTTTCTCCTCCTGGTTGTGGTGGTGGTTGTTGATTGTTATCACGTTGATCACAACTCGACTCAGTGATCCTATGAACAAAAGGCCTGAAGCCTCTTCTGTAACTACCGCCACTTCTCAAAGTTCACAGAGTTTCCGACGCATGTCGTTTAGGAAGTGGATGACACTCCTGCTTTCAAACCTGTCTTAAACTGGGAGCTCCACCAAACGCTGTCCACCATGGGCAACCATTACGGCATTTGAGACCCTAGTGGCACAAGGTTCAGCATCACAGCAACCTCAGCCTCACGCCAGAAGTAACTCCTGAAGATCAGGAGATCGCTCTTCCTGGCCCCCTAAAGGGAGAGAGGTTCTGATCTGACCTGTGTCACATCAACCAGGCCCACAAAGTTCTGGTCAAGGTACTGGGGGACAAAGGGTGCCCTTTCCTGTGGATGCCCTGAAGGCCTGAGTGGTCGTGAGCCTCCGTCTCCACCCCACTGGGCTGCCTGAGCACAGCGCACACGAGGACGTGAAAACCACAAACCAAGATGAAGACATGGGGTTTTCATCACATCGCTTAATCCCAGCACTAAGGTCTGCTTAAAGGAGCACGTTTTCTACGATATGCCTCATACATTCTCTTCATCATTTCAGACGTTCTTAGTTATGTTTGCTTTCGCCTGCAATCAAGAGAACCCTTATAATCAGATTCCTTTAGAATGGTAACCAAAGAAAATATACATATTCACAATTAAGAGTAAACTTACCCAGTTAATTAAGTTTCAGTTGACATATTACAATCAAAAAATACTGGGGGTGGAAATCTCACGAAATCTACTTCTCCCATTTGGAAACAATTTGATTTGCCATCTCAAAGTGCAAATATAGGATTGTGTATAAACCCCACGATGACCACTCGTTCACGTATAAACTCAATACTGTGGTGAAATCTTCTGGTTTTCAAGATAATTCCACAGCAAAACACTCCCTATACTGTGGTGAAATCTTCTGGTTTTCAAGATAATTCCACAGCAAAACACTCCCTAACCTCCAGGAAGCAGGTGTGTGTGTGTGTGTGTGTGTGTGTGTGTGTGTGTGTGTGTGTGTGTGTGTGTGAAGAAAGATCCTTAACAAGGAGTTAAGCAGCACAAAGTTAAGAACACATATCCACATGCACACCCATGTTCATTGTGGCTTTGTTCACAATAGCAAAGAGTTGGAAACAAACTAAGTGCCCATCAACAAACGAATGGATAGAGAAGCTGTGGTATATTCATACAATGGAATACTACGCTGCATTGAAGAACAAGGAACTCATGCAATATTATTCAAAATGGGTGACCCTGGATGACATTATACTGAGTGAAATATCTCAGTCACAAACTGACAAATACTGCATGGTGCCACTGTTGTAAAACGGGACTGACATCGGGGTTGAGGGGAGACTGAGATAGATGGGATAAATTATGTATACTGCATTGAAACAGATGAGAGAGAGAGAACTGTTTAAAAGGGATATGTGATTGGGTATTATTGTCATGACAAGAGAGCAGAACGAAGGCTGCACAGTGGAGTGGACTTGGAGGGAGGAATTGTATAACAATGAAAGAACTTTTCTTTTACTTTTCAAAGAGAAGAGCAAACTGGGGGGAGGTTGGGCAGGGCAACAAGTGCAACAACGAATGAATGGAAATCCAAAGTCTCTGTAAACTTTCATAAAAATTAATTAAAAAAAGAAAAAAACCCACACACCTTAAAAAAATAAAAAGGAAAGAACACATTTCCATGAGGCTGGATGAACAAACAGCAGACTTATCTGTACTACGTGGGGCCCCAGCAGATAAAGCCCTGCTTTATACATCTAAACCCTTGCATGTGGCACTAACCCAACTCTGGTCACTGATACCCAGACCTCTGTCATAAACAGGCCAAGTGCACACACACAAACACACTAAGTATTCTTAATTGATTCTGTGACATCTAGGCATGCATTAAACAATCAGAAAGGCATCCAAAATGGCAAGGGGAGAAAATGCGAAGTATTCTTTTTCAAACAAAGAGCACCTCTCTGCAAACTGAGATAAAAACCAGTCACTGGGATTAAGTGCTATCGCGCACTGTCCATCTGCATTCACACTCCTCGGAGGTCAGGACCCCCGGCTCTCTGTACCGGGCCCTGACGGAAAGGTGGACGCGTAAGTGAGGTGTTCTCCCCATAGGCCAGCCACGTGGCTGGGTGACATCCGAGGACGCCCCAGACCCCTGGGGGGTGGGGGGGGTGGTGGGGGGAGACTGACCTGCGAGCGCCTTGATGCGGGACCTCTCAAAGAGCCTGGCTGAGCTGTTCTCGTTGTCCCAGTCGTCCACATCCCAGCGGTTGTTGACGTCGCTGTACTGCTGCTGGATTTCAATGTTGTCGTAGTCTGTGGCCACTGTGGTCGTCATGGTGAGCCGTCTCAGCTGCTTCTGCACATCAGCTCCTTCTTAAGAGTTCTGGGAGAAAAAAACACAGCAAAGCAGAGACATATCAGACAGACGGATCAAGGTGAATACAAGCCCAAGATATCAACGTGAATACAAGCCCAAGCCACGTCCGTGGTCGTCAAGTCGATCCTGACCCTTCGCCAGGTTTCGAAGGGTACAAACCAACACGGAGCGACTGGTGAACTCAATGGCCAACATGCAGCATGCCAGGCCACCAGGGCCCCTTCACGTGAGCCTCTACTTAACCCAGTCCAGTCAGAACGGATTCACAGCTGACTCTCCACTGGGTTTTCGGAGTCTGGAAATTGCCCAGGAGAAGACAGCCCGTCTTTCTGCCTCAGACCAGCTGGCAGATTCGAACCACCAGTCTTTAGGTTGGCAGCACAGCTCCCTATCCCCTAGGCTACCAGAGCTCCCTATAGTGAACACAGTTCCCCATAAATCTGCCAGGATAAAGCAAAATAATGAGTATACAGAATATCTAGACCAAGTCCTCTTCAGCCAGCCAGAGGTAGTTGAGAGCTTCAACACTACCTCACAACATGCATGTGACCCTTGTGACATTATTTACAACCTCTGAGCCAGTATGGTTGCTGGGATATCAATCGAATGAGCTGATGGAAATCCAATAAATAGTGGATCTCATCTTTCTTGCTAAACCTTAAATTAACAATTGACAAATTTTATCAGAAATGAGTCAGCATGTGTTCTGGGCTTCTGAATAAACTATCTTATTCCTCCTTCTAGAACAAACTGTTTTTGTTCAAACAGTCTTCTAGGTTGTACTGCCCTGGTATGTCCACTTGCTGTACAGAGATAACTGCAGTTGCTGTGAAGCTGAACACTGTGACACTGATGTGTCATATGCAATAACGGTTACCCACAGTGGACAGTGTTTGGTGGCACTGCCAGTTGAAACAAGCTTGGACGTAGAAGTGGCATCCACTTCCATAAATAGCTTGCCTCCAGAAACCCTGTGAACCTGGAGAGAGAATGAAAGTCACGCAAGCAAGTGTCGAGGACTTTTGTTCATATAAGTCTCCAACAACTCGATGGCACCTAACAACAACAGTCCTCCTCTAGGTCAACCTAAAGAAACATTTTGCCTTCTCTTGGAAATCTAAGCTACAGAAATGAACCAACAGATTCTTCAATCTAAACATCTCAATTTCTTGATTTCAAAGTTGAAGCTAAAATTAAGTAATGCGTATATAGTACCAAAGTCTGCGTCGGGACATAGTAGGTACAAAAAAGTTCAAACCCAAGCCCGGCGCCATCAAGTCGACATCCCAGTCATATGAATTTTGTACCAGGATCTAAATCTTTATGGGAGAAGACTAATTACCTACCTTTCTTCTGTGGAGTAGCTAGATAATGGATTTGAACTGCCAACCATTTGGTTAGCAGCCGACGACATTAAACACTAGGCTACCAGGAGGGCTTCTTACACAGAACCACTGCTACCTCCCTCCCTCATGGCTGCTGAGTTGGAACCAGCTCATAGGTGACTCTCCAGCGGGTTTTCAGAGACCATAAAGCACACGAGAGGAGACTGCCTATCCCTCAGGTATTCGGTGAATAATCACTGCAATTATTTATATTGTGCAATTAAAAAAAAAATCTACTCCCAACACTGACACTCACTTCCCCAGACCCTCACATCCAGGGTTACAATGGTTTTTCAGGAATACATTCTGACACCCTGCTGTTTTTATCAATGTCCTCCAAGAACCCTGAGACATTGCATGTTTAGTTTTAAATACAGCTTCTTTCTTCAATCCAGCTCTTATTCACCATGTGCCTGACGGTGTTCCACATGTGAAGACAGCACAGATAACAAGATAAGCACCTTGTCCTTTGTGACGCTTACATCCAAGTAGGAGGAGCTGGACAGCAGGCAGGTAAGAAAAGGCAAGAGACTCGAAAGGCAAGAAATGAAAGTCACAGGACATGACCGAGGGTAGGTGAGGAACTAATCTGGGTCTGGTGCCCAGGGAAGGGCTCTGTGAACCAGTATTCAACCACAAACAAACAGATTGAGAAATTATGGTACATTCACACAATGCAATACTATGCAGCACGCAGGATCAATAACTTTGTGAATTATTACCTAACTTGGGAGGGACTGGAGAGCATTATGCTGAGTGAACTAACTCAGTCCCACAAGGATAAATACTGCATAAAACCGTTATTGTAGAATGAGGATAGGGATTCAGGAGGGGTGGCAAAGGCTGGAAGCAGAGGGATGAGGATGTGCAGGAGGGAGGGGAGGAGTAATCATTGGGTTGTACAATTTGATATGGGGGGCAGTGAGAGAAATTGAAAGAATTTGTTCGAATTTGTATTCGAGATTTGTAAATAAACTAGTAGAGAAAAAAAAAGAGAGAATCTCAATGGCAAATAAGAACAGGTGACACAGAGATCCGGAAGGTATATGCCAGGCAAAGGGAACAGCTCGCACAGAGATCCGGAAGGTATATGCCAGGCAAAGGGAACAGCTCGCA